TTCTATGATTCTATGATTCTACTCCAGGCATGTGAGTTATCCCACCAAGTCTCTGTTATTCCAATCACATCATAGTTCCTTAACTGTGCCAGGACTTCCAGTTCTCCCTGCTTGTTTCCCAGGCTTCTTGCATTCAGGCACTTAAGATAACTCGCCGATCGTCCCACTTTCTCAGTATGAGACAGGAGTCCTCCCCTCTTGCTCTCTCCTGCTCGTGCTTCCTCCCAGTACCCCATTTCCTCACTTACCTCAGGGCTTTGGTTTCCTTCCCCCGATGAACCTAGTTTAAAGTAAGTCCCCCTCACTAGGTTAGCCAGCCTGCTTGTGAAATTGTTCTTTCCTCTCTTCGTTAGGTGGAGCCCATCTTTGCCTAGCACTCCTCCTTCTTGGAATGCCATCCCTGGTAAAAGAATACAAAGCCTTCTCTCCGACACCAGCTGCGTAGCCATTCGTTGACTTCCATGATTCGACCGTCTCTACCCGGGCCTTTTCCTTGCACAGGGAGGATGAACGAGAACACCACTTGCGCCTCAAACTCCTTTATACTTCTTTCCAGTGCCATGTAGTCTGCAGTGATCCGCTCAAGGTCATTCTTGGCAGTATCATTGGTGCCCACGTGGAGAAGCAGGAAGGGGTAGCGATCCGAGGGCTTGGTGAGTCTTGGCAGTCTCTCGGTCACATCGTGAATCCTAGCTCCTGGCAAGCAGCACACTTCTCGGTTTTCCTGGTCGGGGCGGCAGATAGATGACTCAGTCCCCCTGAGGAGGGAGTCCCTGACCACCACCACCTGCCTCCTTCTCTTGGGAGTGGTGGTCATGGAACCCCCATCCCTAGGACAGTGCATGTCATGCCTTCCAATCGGTGGAGTCTCCTTCTGCTCCCTTCCCTCAGATGTATCATCTAGTCCACGCTCTGCATTAGTACCTGTGGAGAGAACATGAAAACAGTTGCTCGCCTGTATCTGCATTGCTGGTACATGGACGTTCCTCTTCCTTCTACTGGAAGTCACATACTGCCAAATTTCTTCACCATCCTTCTGTCCCAGCTGTGCAGCCTGCTCTGATTCTTCATAAAGTTGTGCCTGTAGAAGCATATTCTGAAGTCTGTCCAGGAAATCTTCATTTTCTCTTATGCAACGCAGGGTCGATACTTGTTTCTCCAGACCTCAAACCTTCTCTTCCAATACGGAGACCAGCTTGCACTTTTGTACAGACAAAGTCGCTTCTGTCCTGTGGAAGAAAGGCAAACATGGCACATCCTGTGCAGGTAACAACAGCTGAACGCTCACCATCCATATTTCCTTCCTTCTAAGAGCTTCCTCAGCTGTTGTAGTAACTACTCAGAGAAACCTGTAAGATGAAAGCGTCAGTGCGCTCTCCCCAGGCGAACTCCCAGGCAAACTCCCTCTGTTAGCCTCCGCTGTTCACCGCTCAGCTGGTTCGCTGCTGACTGCCTTTTTATAACAGAATGAAGGCAGTGAGTTTATCCCTGTGCCCCTCATTGCCATTGCTTGGAAGCCCAGAGCCAGCACTTCTCCCATCAGTGGGAATGGTTGGTTGCCATGGTCCAAGTGGGTGGCAATGGAAGCCAGGCCTGGAAAGGGGTTACTGGAAGGCCAGTTTACTGGTAATTTAGGGAAATGTTATTATAACTGCTCCCCACTAACTCTATCATGGCTGCACCTGGTGGTTGCCCTCACAGGTAACTGAGGCTCACTGATTGTCTGTGACAGGTGACATGGGGGAGGAGGACTGAAGCACTGGACTCTTGCAATTCAAGAGAGTTACACAGCTCTGCAAAAGCACCTCAATCCTGATCTACATCCCGCCTCACTCCCTGCTATTCTGGTCTTGGGTATCTCCCAATCCCAGCTCTGCTAACACACCTCAATCCAACTTGTGCATCATTTCCCACTAGTCAAGCCATGTGGCCATACACTGTTCTGCAGCAACCTTTGGTATTCAAGGCTCAGGCCTTGACAAAGAATCACAGAATTTACATCAGCCACGGGTATTCCTGTCCTAGCTCCCTACAACTATGCCAATATAGCTCCCACAAAACAAACAGCTCTCATGCAGTTGGCTCAATTATCGTCCCTCTTTTGCCCCCTACCATGACACCATCCCTGAACCTGGCTCTGCCATTTCCATGGGGGGGAGGGGGGAGGGAAGGAAGGGGCTGCTGTGAGGGCTGAGAGCTATGTACAGAGGACCTCACCAAGAGTGAGAACGGGTCCTTACATTGACTGTCCTTACTTTGCTCGTATTCTGTCCGCAGCTGTCAAGTGCCCAGCGCTGGCCACCCCGGGCAGGGGCCAGTTAAACTGCACTCACTGGCATGGAGACTTCACGTATAACTCCACCTGCACCTTCTCCTGCGAGATGGGATTTGTGCGGAATGGATCGGAGACACTGGCGTGCACAGCCCTGGGACAATGGACAGTGCGTCCCCCACTCTGTGAAGGTAGAGACACACCATTAACTGTGGGGTGTGCAGAGAATCCATGGTGGAGCTGGTGTGATATGAGATGTCCTTTCCATAGGAGCCCAGATCTCTGCCCATTCTGGGGAGGAGAGCTATTTTGTATGATGGCTTGGGAGCCAGGGGACTAGATCCTTCGATACGGGACACATGTGCAATGCAAAGCTGTGTAATAGGGAGAAAATGGACCTTCATCGCCATTGCCCTGCCCCTTGGGCAGCCATTTACACCAGTGTCAACTGTCTGCCCCACAACCCCTGGCACTACTGTCCCCTGGCTCCTCTTCCTGTCACCTTCCCCCAAACACAGCCAGACACCTGCCTCCTGGCACCCCACTAACCTGGTTATTCGGTAACCATCAGTCCCTGTCATGGTACCCTCCCTTCAGACAGTTCTCCCTCTGGCACTACACCCCCAGCTTCTAGCTATTCAACTCATGATAACACCTCATCCCCCTGAGGCATTAACACTCCAGCACCTCATTCCAGACAGCATTGTTCCACCCAGTGTCCAAGACATGCCACTCCCAGGGTCTGAAAACTGCAGCAATGCATCACTTAACACATAGCAATGTAGAGCTGGAAGGGACCTCAAGAGGTCTTCAAGTCCAGCCCCCTGCACTGAGGCAGGACCAAGTAAAACTAGACCACCCCTGACAAGTGTTTGTCCAACCTATTCTTTAAAATCTCCACTAATGGGGATTCCACAAACTCCCTTGGTTACCTGTTTCAGAGTTTAACTATCCTTATTGTTAGAAAAATTTTCCTAATATCGAACCTAAATTGCTGTTGCTGCAGATTAAGACCATTACTTCTTTTCCTATCTTCAGCGGACATGGAGAACAATTGATCACTGTCTTCTTTATAACAACCCTTAACACAATTGAAGACCGTTATTAGATATCCCCTCTTCTTTTCTCAAGACTAAATATGCCCAGTTTTTTTAACCTTTCCTCAGAGGCCAGGTTTTCTAAACATTTGATAATTTGTGTTGCTTTTCTCTGGACTCTCTCCAGTTTGTCCACATCTTTCTTAAAGTGTGGCACCCAGAACTGCACACAGTACTCCTTCTGAGGCCTCAGCAGTGCAAAGTAAAGCGGGACATTTATCTCCCATATCTTACATACAACACACCTGTTAGTACACCCCAGAATGATATTAGCCTTTTTTGCAGCTGCATCACATTGTTGATTCATATCCAATTTGTGATCCACTAAAATCCCTTTTCAGCAATGCTACCACCTGGCCACTTATTCCCCATTTTGTAGTTATGCATTTCAATTTTCTTTCCTAAGTGAAGTACTTTGCTCTTGTCTTTACTGAATTTTATCTTGTTGATTTCAGACCAGTTCTCCAATTTGACAAGGTAGTTTTGAATTCTAATTCTGTCCTCCAAAGTGCTTGCACTCCCTCCTAGCTTGGTGTCATCTGCAAATTTTATAAGCATCGTCTCCACTCTATTCTCCAAGTCATTAATGAAAATATTGAATAGTACTGGACCCAGGACTGACCCCTGTGGCACTCCACTAGATACACCCTCCCAGTTTCAAACAAACCAGTGTAACTACTCTCTGAGTGTGGTTTTTCAAGAGGTTGTGCACCCACCTGCTAGAAATTAAATCTAGACTACATTTCCCTAGTTTGCTTATGGGAATGTCATGTGGAGCATGATGCCTCTGGCATCACATCCCCCAGCACCCTTTGCCCCCAATACCTAACCTCATGTACCCATGCTTCCATGGCACTTCACACACACACCCATTAGCTAATTCCCCTGGCACTTCACCTCACAGCAACAAAGGACCATCCCCTGCCACATCCAGATTTTTACTTATAAAGTTATGCTTTGCTATTCCAGCTGTCAAGTGCCCAGTGCTGGATTCCCCGGGCAGGGGCCGATTAAACTGTACTCATTGGCATGGAGACTTCACGTATAACTCCACCTGTGCCTTTTCCTGTGAGACGGGGTTTGTGTGGAATGGATCGGAGACACTGGAGTGTACGGCCCTGGGACAATGGACAGGGCATCCCCCGCGCTGTGAAGGTACAGTAGAGGCTATACACTGCAGGACTGGCTTGGGAAGCTGCTTCTGCTCACATGGTAGGAAGCACTGTGGCCTTAGAATGTCTGAACTTACAGAACTGAAAAGCAAATCAAGGAAATGTTAAATGCAGGATTTAGAGCCCCTGTGAACACTCACAAGGAAACTCTGTAGCTGCTGTGATAATGTAATCTAAGGTCAGGATTTCCAGTGCTGTGAGCTGTTCAGATGTCGTGGAGCAATCAGTACAGACTAATGGAGGTCTTCAGAGTACCTATGTAACCCTTCTGCCCATCTAAGTTGGCAGCAACAAGGGCCGGGTTCTGTATCTAGGGGTTCCGTTTCAATAACGCAATGCAAAACCGGTTCGAGCCCCCACCCAGTGACCTGGGACAATTACATACCACCCCCTGGGTGCCTCTAAGAGGCAATACTTCCTCTTTCGCAAGCACGGAGTCTGAGTGTAACAGAAAATGTTTAATAACATGAGGTAAACGACATCAGCATTAAATTGGAAAAACACCACAAACAGGATTCATAACACAAACCATGAGCCCACCCCAGCAAATTGGGCTGTGTCCTTTCCCTTTGGTTCTTGAATCCAGCAACCCAAAAATCACCCAGAGTCCCCAAAGTCCAACACCCCTGAAGTCTCTTGGGTCCAGCAACCACCCAAAGTCCCAAAAGTCCAACAGACCCCAAAGTCTCTGTCCCTGGTCAGTGCAGCCCCAGAGCAAAAGGGGGGGCATGCAGGGTGTTAAGGGGCACCTTACGTGATCCAAGGCCAGCTGGCCGGCTCTCTGTGGGGTTCCGCCACAGCCTTCACCACGAGCCAGTCCACTTCCTGCCATCCCACAAACTGCTCCGCTTACAAACTGCTCCGCTCCGCTCACTGACCTGTGAGCCGCTCCAGCCATCTCCGCAAACAGCTCTGCTCACTGTGTCTTGGGCCGCTCCAACCGGCCCCACAAGGCTCCGCACCGCTCGCTGCTCCTCCAGTTGTCCCCACAAATTGCTCCACCAGCTGCTTAGCAATATAGCTTCAGGCTCCCCCACTAGTTAACACAGCACTCAGTGATCTCAGCTCTTAATAACTTTAGCTCTTTTGTGATTTCAGCTCTTAGCCATTTCAGCTCATAGTAGGGGAGCCCCAGTGCTAGTGCACCATTGGCCCAAAGTGAATTCAGCTCAGCAGCCTGTAACTAGACTCCTAATGGAATCAAAGTTAGCTCTGACATTTAACAATGGAGAGAGAAGGTAGCACAATTGGTGTTTCAAACCCTCAGAGTGGGCCCATACCATTGGGTACAAATACCTATCCCCATCCTCTCACCATTCACTGGGTTTTGTAACCCATGCCCCTTGTCAAGCAAGTGCTACTTAGGTAATGGTGAAGGACTCACTTAGTCCTTCTGTCATACAACAGATCCACTGGCCTTGATTCACAGAATCAGGGTAACAAAACTTTATTCTTCCTGCCCCAATAACAGAGAAAACTGGGGATCCCACACCAGCCAAAGTAACCACTTTGAGTTACTGTTGTTTCATGCCAGGCGAGTGGGTGTGCCTATGCAAACAAGATCAGCCCCTGGAGTTCTTTTCCACATTCGCCATAATTCACCACCAGATGTCAGGGTAGCGCTCATCCTGACTCTGCTTACATTCTCCCCCCAGCCGAGAATTTGTCGTCCCGACAAATCACACTCCCTA